TTAGCCACTTCTCAGCTCAGTTTAGCCACTTCTCAGCTCAGTTTAGCTTGGTATCTGCTTGTTTAAGTGTCTGTTGTTTGTTTTGTAGTTTTCACTGAATGGTTCTTAACAGTTTCAGCTTCTTCAATAAATTAAAAAATAAAATGTAATACTTAAAAAAATAAAATCCACCTTTTGGTTCCTACCCGGAGCCACACGGTGTTGCTGACAATAAACACTTTCATTATTGAAAGACAGATTTGATTTGAAATGTTTAAGGAGCCTGAACCAATTCCTGTGGCCTTCAGGGTGGCCAAACATTAATTTGTGGGGGCCAAGGCCACCACTGGCCACCCCCTGGCTCCTCCACTCAGCAGGATCGGTCAGTCTGCCGCCTCCAACAAGAACAATAGAAAATAAACCTCCCTCTGTTCTCCACACTTGAACATGTTGCAACAAAAACATTTCGGTTTACTTCACCCTGTTCAGATCCAGTCCAGACAAACATCTCGTTAGTTCTGATGTTCTCATCCACTTTACTTCTGTATAATTGGTGCCATTTTAGAAATGTATAAATCAAAATGTTCTCGACTCAGAATAATGCATTTTGATTTTAGCATTTAAATTCTGGAATTATTTAAACAGTATTTGCAACATTTTTCTCCATAAAAATAAACGGAGAGTTCTTCAATTCCTTCAAAACGTTCTCTGAAGCAAACTGGCTAATGCAGCTTTTAGCTTTTAACAACCATTCGGACACATTTAGCAACTAGCTGAAGTTGTGCAAAACTTTGCTTTTACGTAGTTTACAACTAAAAATGTAAACACGATTGTTAAATCATGCTTCTTCCAACTGAGGCGGCTGTCTAAACTGAAGCCCATATTGTCCAAAAAGAACCTGGAGACAGTAACACATGCATTCATTACATCTAGGCTTGATTACTGCAATTCACTCCTGTTTGGTATCAGTCAGACCTCCATTGCACGACTACAACTGGTCCAGAATGCAGCAGCCCCATTTTTAACCAGTACAGGCAAAAGAGAGCACATTACACCAGTTTTGGCCTCACTGCACTGGTTACCAGTTCACTTTCGAATCCAGTTCAAAATACTCCTGTATGTCTAAAAATCACTGAACAGTGTGTCTCTCCCCCCCCCCCC